GACAGCTAAATCCATAGGCATCCTTTCTGGTTAAACCTGGGTTCACCACTTCGAACCTTAATCAAAGTTTCAAAGCAAACAGAAGAAACAGTCTTGTTCTCTGCCGAAAAAGACGTTCATACAGGGAGCGTATTTTGCCAAGGTGACGGCTTTATTATTATTATTATTATTATTATTATTGTTGTTGTTTCTGAAGGCGTAATCTTGATAGATTAACAAGAAGAGGGGAAAACTATTAATGGATAATACTATGCATCAGAATTAAGACAACTAAAGGAAGCAATCAAGTCGAAACGCAGAGGAAAGCTAAGAGCCAATGTGCTCTTGCTCCAGGACAACGCGCCCGTTCACACTGCTCGGGTTGAAGTAGATGAAGCAGTCAACTCTGACATTAAATAGCTACCCCATCCCCTTACTTCACAGATCTCTCTCCATCCTAATCTCAAATCTCACTTGTGTGGTCGTCATTTTGGCAATAATGATCAGATTATATGTGCTTTCGGATAACCAGTACGCCAGCTTCTTCAGGCATGTGAGAGCCAAGGAGGTGATCGTATGGCTTTGGATGACAGTCTTCTTACTCTCCATCAGATAGCTAAGTCCATAGGAATTAATTCTTTTTCAAGGAGGCAGCCCAAATTGGCAAGGTGATGGCTTCTCTTTCTTTGGATTCTGAAGGCGTAATCATGATAGACTACATAGAAAAGGGGAAAAACTGTTAATGGATAGTACTATGCAACAGAATTAAGACAGCTGAAGGAAGCAATCAAGTCGAAACGCAGAGCTGTTGGAAGAACTGCTCTTGCTCCAGGATAACGCGTCCGTTCACACGGCTCGGGCTGCAGTCAGATGAAACAGCCAAATGCCGCTTTGAATTGCTACTTCGCCCCCTTACTCAACAGACTTAGAACCAGCTGACGTTATGGTTCGACCCATACTGTTTTAACTGAGATATTGGGGATGAGAAATCTGTTTTTCAAGTCCTAAGAACACCGGATCAAAAGGACTGACTTTCATATAAACATAATTTGATGTCATTCAGCTTATGGCTTTGGATGGCATACTTTTTACTCTCCAGCAGATAGCTAAGTCCAGAGGAATTAATTCTTGTTCAAGCAGGCAGCGTCAATTGGCAAGGTGATGGCTTCTGTTTCTTTGGATTCTGAAGGCGTAATCATGATAGACTACATAGAAAAGGAGAAAACTATTAACGGATATTACTATGCATCAGAATTAAGACAACTAAAGGAAGCACTCAAATCGAAACGCAGAGGATAGCTGAGGGTAAGGGTGCTCTTGCTCCAGGATAACGCGCCCGTTCACACGGCTCAGGCTGCAGTAAGCTGAATCAACCACCTGTGCCTTTGAATTGCTACTCCGACCTCCTACTCACCAGACTTAGAAACATCTGACTTTTTACTGTTCCCTAAATCGCAGTGGTCGCCATTTTGGAAACAAGGATAAGATCATCTGTGCTGTGGATGTGTTTTTGAGGGGACCAGGACGCCACCTTCGTCCATGATGGGATTGTAATAATTAAACATCGTTGGATCAAGTGCATTGATGTAAAGGGGAGACTATATTGAAAAATATTGAAAAACTGTCTTATTTTCCCAATTACTTCTGGAACGACCCTCGTAGTAGATTTTGCCTTTTGGCTCTCTCACCTAATCCATGTTCAGTCCACCGTTTACACATGTTCGTTAGGTTATGCAATGCCTTCCTTTGTCCGTCTTGTCTTGTGAGTACCAAATTTTCAGAAACTTCTTTCTAGCTCTTAGTGTAAATTTGCTTTTTGCTTCCGTTTTCACTAAGACTTCGCCGTTGCTCATATCTTTAGCCTATGTTATTCTTGTTACAGTTTTTTGTATATATATATATATATATATATATATATATATAACTAGTGAGCCAGTCAAAATGACTTGACTCACTTTATAGTCCACCAATAGAAGGTTAACCAATCAGAAGACGTAGAATATTCAATCCGTCGTGTATAAAGGCGGCCATTTTTGTTCACTCTACCCGAATGTCCAGTCCAGCTTTTCAGGTGAAGAGAACCAGAAGGACGAACTATGCTCTGCTACTTTTTACCAAAATATCCACTGCTAACCTGAACAAATATTCGCTTTCCTACTGTCTTCAACCTACTTTTAAATATTCCACTGCCTAACCTCCTACTGTCTTCGAAATATTCATCTGATTCTATACTCAAAGACGACCGTCATCATAAACAACCTACTTTTACCAAAATATCCACTGCTAACCTGAACAACGCTTTCCTACTGTCTTCGAAATATTCACTGCTAACCTCTGGATTCTATACTCAAAGACGGCAGTCATCATAAACAACCTACTTTTACCAAAATATCCACTGCTAACCTGAACAACGCTTTCCTACTGTCTTCGAAATATTCACTGCTAACCTCTGGATTCTATACTCGAAGACGACCGTCATCATGAACAACAATTGTTCTGCAGAAACATATTTCTATTGCCTCAAGTATTCATCTTGAGGAGACTGCCCAGCATTACAGAACAGTTTAGTTCGCTCTTCTTGTTTTCTAGCGACATTTTCCTGTTTCATAACCCTTAGAAGACGATATATCTATCGAAAAGTCGAATGACGAAGAAGACTAGGCCAATCCGTCGGCCCGTTAAAACAAACTTCGAGATTAGCTGGCTAGTCTTCGTACCAGCCAATCAGATTGCTTCTCGCATTTCTTGCACATCAGAGCTTCAGTTTCTATGATAGTTTCCGTCTTCTGTGATTTTACATCGATTTGGTGAAAAAGAGTTCTGTCTCCAAACTCCCAATGAGACTCCGTCCCCAAAGAGTTAATACTTTGCTTCACTTTTAGAAGACCTCTTTCATTATTCCGATGCGCTGTCAGATTTTGGTATCGTATTTTCTGTCGTCTTTAAAAAGAAATCCTAGATATTTCAATTCTTTCTACCTGTTTGATTTTGGTGTTTCCAAATCTTTGTACCCATCTGGTCTGTTCCTCTCGCTGACAGCCGCAGATTTTGTCTTGTTACAATTGAAGGAAGCACGATAGCGGCTAGGATTGAGGTGTCGGAGAGCCGAGTTCGAATTCCAGTCGAATCCATTACATTCATTTACGTGCTAATACCCTTGGGAAAGGTGTGAATCCTCTTCTCCCCCAGCGATGGCTAAATAGCAGGACAGGCTTGGTTCTATAGTCTTGCATGGAAACTGGTCTACCGCAGAAAGAAATGGCAACCTACTGCGGGAAAAAGGAGTAATGGATAGCGGCTCGGATTGAGAAATCAGAGAGCCGAGTTCGAATTCCAGCCGAATTCATTACATTCACTTTTGGGCTAATACCCTTGGGAAAGGTGTGAATCCTATTCTTCTCCTCCCAGCTATGGGAAAATAGCAGGACAGACCGGGTTCTATAGCCTTGGATGGCAACTGGTCTACCGCAGAAAGAAATGGCAACCTACTGCGGGAAAAATCGGCCTCGTCAGTCATGTATTGAAAAGTACGTGATTGCCTAAGCGTGTATCATGCATGACACATAACTGACTGACTGAAAATTGAAGGTTAGTCTAACTTCCTTTTACTAATTTCTGTAGGAGATCATATAGTTTCTTTTCTGTGTCTGCTATCCCCACGGCATCGTCTGCATATATGTTATGGCTGTGGTTGCCAATACTTAATCCTGATAAGACTTCCAATTCTCTCAGGGTCGCCTGACTATAAACACTTTCCATTTAATGCTTTACTGGACACGGTGTCATGAACAAAGCAATGGGAACATTCTCCATTGCATTAAAAACGAACAAAAATATTTCCACTGACTTAATCATATAATATTTTTAATACTATTCTGATCGCCTGATTGTGACTATTACTAGTAGTAATAGTCATGCATTCATAAACAAAAAAAAAACGAACTATATTTAATCCCGATTGGAATAATGATCGTGCTCTAAACCGAACACAAATACACCGCCAGAAAATTTCGCGGTCTGTTGTTGCTAGGAGAGAGAGAGATGAAAGGAATCTAATAAAAATAAAATAAAATAAAATGGATTGAAATCGAAAGAGTAGGGGAGAAAGAAACGAAAGAAAGCTGAAAATCATGCAAATGGTTTAACGTGAAACGAAATATAAAACCAGAACAAGAAAATGCAACCTTTGAAGAGTACATTTCTTTTTAAAAAATTCAATCAGAGATGAAAGGTATGAAAAAAAAAAACATGGCGTCATGGGATTTCATGGGGAGAGCGAAGCAATTGCAAAAGCGGAAGAAAAAGAAGGCCTCGGCAAAGCTGGGAAGGCGTGAAGGGGGAGCTTATTTGAAGTTAAGAGTTGGGGGAAAAAAAAGGCGGAAAGGGAAGGACGAATTGTGAAAATTCCAAGGCAAGTAAAATTAATATGGCGTGTTTTGTGAGAAAGTTAATTATATGGAATTTTGTTTGGTCGGTCTTTGAAATTTATTGAAGAGTGTTTGGCGAGAATCGGGTTTTGGATAGAAATTAGTGGGGAGGCTATTTGGCGGTCGGTTCAGGGACAAAATTAGACTGACCAGGCTGACCTCAGAATGGAGGCGTCCTAAGTGTTTATAAGATTAATAAATCAACAGGCCCATTATATATGTATGTATGGATGAACACGCACATATGTGAGCGTATGTGTAACAAGGGGAATATGTGTACATACGTGCGTTGCGTGTGTCAGTGTATATGTACAAGTGTGTTTCCATTTTGGGCTTTTTTAAAAAGTCCTCGAGGGACCTAAAATACAAAATGATTTAACAGTGAAGAATTCCTTAGATGAAACTAATGAAATACTTAACAGAAATTGCTTAAACGTTATCTACTGTGTGTGTATACACGAATGAAGATTAGCGCAAGTTTAGGATCAGGTCTAAGCGGGGGATTAAGAGTTTTTAAGGATTATCAAAATAAAAGTGACAAATGGATTAAAATTATGCTCTCCACAGATTCCCTTTCTTTTATTATCTGCGGGCTTACGCCCATATCACGTTGAAACACCGGTTCCCGTGCGATCACTGAAGTTAAGCAACATCGAGCCTGGTCAGTACCTAGATGGGTGACCGCTTGTGCTGTAAAGGTTGGATGTGTATGTGGTGTAATAAATAAAGGCACGGAATTAAAAATCGGAGAGCCGAGTTCAAATTCCAGTCTAGTTCGTTATATTTATTTATGCACAGTTACCCTTGAATCTACATCACCCCCCCCAGTTATGGGTTAATTATTAGTAGTTGACACAAGTAAAGAATTATCATCTCCGAAAAATACTTATCATCTCAAAAAGTTTTGTGGCTTTAAATAACCTGCAAAAGGTTGATAAACCGTAAAAAAAGATCAATCATTTTACTATGTACGACTTGGTAAGGGTACATGTGAAGGAAAATGAATTAGTTTCTCGTTGCCGATTTCACCGTTTTGAATTCAGTCATCTTTCTACTAGACTGGCTGCCATCCAAGGCTCGAGACACCAGTCTTATTCTCCAGTTTAACTGGAAAGAGACGAGATCCTTGACACAGATCATCATCCAGTCTTCTGTAGTTTCCATGTAAGACCGATTGCAGGACTGTTTTAGTTGAACTAATCCTCTGCCTTTCCCAGACCCTGGGCACATACAAACGCTGACTGGCTTTAGTGTGAAAATAAATACGGCTTATCATTCTTTTTCAGGTTATTTAAAGGCAGAAATTATTTTTAGATTGTAAAGATTATTTTTGAGATAATAATGCTCTACTGATACAAACCCTACCAATTAATCAATAGTTGGTGGGGAGAAGACAGGGATTCATATAAGAAGAGATGTCAGTACTTCTCGCTGATTCTCTACGATATAACGTCCTTTCAGGATGTAGGTGATCATGAAGCGGTTCTTGTGCAGAAGTTGTCTGAATGGAACGCTCTGTTAAAGAATGAAATACAAAAGAAATGAGCACATTTCGATTCTGTTTATATAGTATTGTCGGTCTTTTACAAAGAGCAGGAAATAGAGGAGGGCCATGATCGCACATGTCCTGAAAGGAGACAACACATAGAAAATGAAGGGTGAGAAGAAGGGCGCGAAAAAGAAGGGTGAGAAGAAGAAGGCCGACGGGAAGAGCAAGAAAAAGAAGGACGAAAAGAAGGACGAGAAGAAGGACGAGAAGAAGAAGGGCAAGAAGAAGAAGACGACAGAGAAGAAGGGCGAAAAGAAGAAGAAGAGAGAGAAGAAGGGCGAAAAGAAGAAGAAGAGAGAGAGAAGGCAAGAAGGAAGAAGAGAGAGAAGAAGGGCAAGAAGAGAGAAGAAGAAGAAGAGAAGAAGAAGAAAGAAGAAGAAGAAGAGAGAGAAGAAGGCAAAAGAAGAAGAAGAGAGAGAAAAGAAGAAGAAGAAAGAAAAAAAAGAAGAGAAGAAGGGTTTAAGAAGAAGAAGAGAAGAAGAAGGTGAAAAGAAGAAGAAGAAGGGCAAGAAGAAGAAGAAGAGAGAAGAAGAAAAAGAAGAAGAAGAGAGAGAAGAAGGTCCAAAAGAAGGGCAAAAGAAGAGAAGAAGAGAAGAAGAGAGAGAAGAAGGGCAAAAGAAGAAGAAGAGAGAGAAGAAGGCAAAAGAAGAAGAAGAGAGAGAAGAAGGGCGAAAAAGAAGAAGAAGAGAAGAAGAAAAAAGAAGAAGAAGAGAAGAAAAAAGAAGAAGAAGAGAGAGAAGAAGGGCAAAAAGAAGAAGAAGAGAGAGAAGAAGGGCAAAAAGAAGAAGAAGAGAGAGAAGAAGGGCAAGAAGAAGAAGAAGAGAGAGAAGAAGGGCAAGAAGAAGAAGAAGAGAGAGAAGAAGGGCAAAAAGAAGAAGAAGAGAGAGAAGAAGGGCAAGAAGAAGAAGAAGAGAGAGAAGAAGAAAAAGAAGAAGAAGAGAGAGAAGAAGGGTGAAAAGAAGAAGAAGAAGGGCGAAAAGAAGAAGAAGAGAGAGAAGAAGGGCGAAAAGAAGAAGAAGAGAGAGAAGAAGGGCGAAAAGAAGAAGAAGAGAGAAGAAGAAGAAGAAGAGAAGAAAAGAAAAAGAAGAAGAAGAGAGAAGAAGAAGAAAAGAAGAAGAAGAAGGGCAGAAGAAGAAGGAGAGAAGAAGGGCAAGAAGAGAAAGAAAAAGAAGAAGAGAAGAAGAAGGAGAAGAAGAAGAAGAAGAGAGAAGAAGGGCAAGAAGAAGAAGAAAGAAGAAGAAGAAGAAAAAAAAGAAGAAGAAGAGAAGAAGAAGAAGAAGAAGAGAGAGAAGAAGGGCAAAAAGAAGAAGAAGAGAGAGAAGAAGGGCAAAAAGAAGAAGAAGAGAGAGAAGAAGGGCGAAAAGAAGAAGAAGAGAGAGAAGAAGGGCGAAAAGAAGAAGAAGAGAGAGAAGAAGGGCGAAAAGAAGAAGAAGAGAGAAAGAAGGGGTGAAAGAAGAAGAAAAGAGAAAAAGAAGGGCGAAAAGAAGAAGAAAAGAAGAAGGGGTGAAAAGAAGAAGAAGAGAAAGAAGAAGGGCAAAAGAAAAGAAGAGAAGAAAAGAAAAAAAGAAAAGAAGAAGAAAAAAAGAAGAAGAAGAAGAAGAGAAAAGAAGGGAAAAAAGAAGAAGAAGAGAAAAAGAAGAAAAAAAGAAAAGAAGAGAGAGAAGAAGGTGAAAAGAAGAAGAAAGAAGAAGAAGAAAAGAAAAGAAGAAGAAGAAGAAAGAGAAAAGAAGAAGAAAGAAAAAAGAGAAGAAGATTACAAAAGAAGGGCAAAAGAAGAAGAAAAAGAAGAAGAAAGAGAGGAAAGAAAAGAAAAGAAGAAGAGAGAGAAAAAAGAAAAAAAAGAAGAAGAGAGAAGAAGGAAGAAAAGAAGAAGAAGAGAAGAAGAAGGGCAAAAAGAAGAAGAAGAGAGAGAAGAAGGGCAAAAAAGAAGAAGAAGAGAGAGAAGAAATGAAAAAAGAAGAAGAAGGGAAGAAAAGAAGAAGAAGAGAAGAAAAAGAAAAAGAAGAAGAAGAGAAGAAGGGCAAAAAGAAGAAGAAGAGAGAAAGAAGGGCAAAAAGAAGAAGAAGAGAGAGAAGAAGGGCAAAAAAAAAGAAGAAGAGAAGAAGAAGGAAAAGAAGAAGAAGAGAGAGAAAGAAGGGAAAAAGAAGAAGAGAAGAAGAAGAAAAGAAGAAGAAGAAGAAAGAAGGGGAAAGAAGAAGAAGAAAAGAAAAGAAGAAGAAGAAAAAGAAGAAAGAAGAAAAGAAGAATGAAGAAAGAAGAAGAAGAAGAGAAGAAGAAAAAAGAAAAAAAGAAGAAAAAGAAGGGGAAAGAAGAAGAAGAGAGAGAAGAAGGGGAAAAAAAAGAAGAAGAGAGAAAAGAAGAAGAAGAAGGGAAGAAGAAAAGAAGAGAGAGAAGAAGGGCAAAAGAAGAAGAAGAGAGAGAAGAAGGAAAAAGAAGAAGAAGAGAGAGAAGAAGAAAGAAAAGAAGAAGAAGAGAAAGAAGGGAAAAAAGGAGAAGAAGAGAGAAGAAGGGCAAGAAAGAAGAAGAAGAGAGAGAAGAAGGGAAAAAGAAGAAGAAGAGAGAAAAGAAAATAAAAAAAGAAGAAGAGAGAAAGAAGGACAAAAAGAAGAAGAATTTTTTCAAGAAGAAGAAAAAAAAAGAAAAGAAGAGAAGAAAAAGGGAAAAAGAAGAAGAAGAAGAAGAGAAAAAAGAAAAAAAGAAGAAAAGAAGAAAGAAGAGAGGAAAGAAGAAGAAGAAGAAGAAGAAGAGAAGAAGAAGAAAAGAAGAAAAGAAGGGCAAAAAGAAGAAGAAGAGAGAAGAAGGTCAAAAGAAGAAGAAAAAAAAGAAAAAAAGAAGAAGAAAGAAGGAAGAAGAAGAAGAAGAAAAAAGAAATAGAGAGAGAAGAAGAAGCAAAAAGAAGAAGAAGAGAGAGAAGAAAAAAAAGAAAAGAAGAGAGAGAAGAAGAAAAAAAGAAGAAGAAGAAGAGAGAAAAGAAGAAAAAGAAGAAGAAATGAAGAAAAAGAGAGAAGAAGAAGAAGAAAAGAGAGAAGAAGGAAAAAAGAAAAGAAGAAGAAGAAAAAAAAGAAGAAAAGAGAAGAAGAAGGGCAAAAGAAGAAGAAGAAGAATAAGAAGGAAAAAAGAAAAAGAAGAAGAGAGAAAGAAGGGCAAGAAGAAGAAGAAGAAGAAAAGAAGGGCAAAAGAAGAAAAGAGAGAGAAAGAAAAAAAAAGAAGAAGAAGAAATAAAAAAGAAGAAGAAGAGAGAAAGAAGGGCAAAAGAAGAAGAAGAGAGAGAAGAAGGGCAAGAAAAGAAGAAGAGAGAAAGAAAACAAGAAAAGAAGAAGAGAGAAAGAAGAAGAAAAGAAGAAGAAGAAGAAAAAGAAGGGCAAGAAGAAGAAAAAAGAGAGAAAAGGGCAAAAAGAAGAAGAAGAGAGAGAAGAAGGACAAAAAAGAAGAAGAGAGAGAAGAAAGGCAAAAAAAGAAGAAGAAAAGAGAATGAAGAAGAGAGAAGAAGAAAAAGAAAAAGAAGAAGAAGGAAGAAATGAAGAAGAAGAGAGAGAAGAAGGGCGAAAAAAGAAGAAGAGAGAAGAAGGCAAAAAAAGAAGAAGAAGAGGAAGAAGGCAAAAAGAAGAAGAAGAGAAGAAGGGAAAATAAAAAAGAAGAGAAGAAAAGAAGAAGAAAAGAGAAGAAGAAGAAGAAGAGAGAGAAGAAGGAGGAGAAATGAAAGAAGAAGAAGAGAGAGAATTTGAAAAGAAGAAGAAGAGAGAAGAAGTAAGAAAAGAAGAAGAAAGAGAGAAGAAGGGCAAAAGAAAAGAGAAGAAGAAGGGAAAAATTAAGAAGAGAAGAAGAAGAGCAAGAAGAAGAAAAAGAGAAGAAGAATGAAAAGAAGAAGAAGAGAGAAAAGAAGGGTTAGAAGGAGAAGAGAAGAAGAAGAAGAAAGAAGAAGAAGAAGAGAGAAGAAAAAAAGAAGAAGAAGAAGAAAAGAAGAGAGAAGAAAAGAAGAAGAGAAGAAAGACAAAGAAAGAAAAAGAAGAGAAGAAGAAAAGAAGAAGAAGAAGAGAGAAGAAAAAGAAGAAGAAGAAGAAGAAGAGAAAAGAAGAAGAAGAGAAAAGAAGGGAAAAAAAAAGAAGAAGAAGGGCGAAAAAGAAGAAGAAAAAAGAAGAAG